TAATGGAAAAAGAACAAATAAAGTAGGATGCTATTTTGATAATGATATTTAAAGTATATGTGTATTTGTATGTAATGTGGATTGTATGTGAGTATAATGTGTATTTTTTGTAGCATACTATTATTGAGAATGTTATTATTGTAAGATGCTATTATTGAAAAAAAAAATTAATAAAGTAGGATGTTATTATTAAGAATGCAAATTTTTGTAAAACAACAATATGAATTCTAAAAAAACAAATAAAGTAGGATGCTATTATTGAGAATGCTATTTTTTGTAAAAAAAAACAATGTAGGCTGTAAAAACAATGAAAACATAAAGCAAATCATTACAATAGAAAACAACAACATAATATAATTGTTTAAAATACAATGATATAATTGAAAAAAAAACAAAAATAAAATTTTATAAATAATAAAAATATAAAAAGGTACAATAGCAAGATGCTATAAAAGTACAATGTTACAAATAAAGTAGAATGTTATTATTAAGAATGCTAATTTTTTTGTAAAAAAACAATATTGATTCTAAAAAAAAACAAATAAAGTAGGATGCTATTATTGAGAATGTTATTTTTTCTAAAAAAAACAATGTACATTGTAAAAAAAATAAAATAAAGTAGGATGCTAATTTTTGTAAAAAAAACAATGTGGATTGAAAAAAAAATAGAAAGTAGGATGCTATGTAATGTGTATTATGATACTGAAGAAGACACTGAAGGATATGAGGAAGATTCTGATTAGAATAGTTCTTATGTAATGCGTATTTAATTATAATATAAATTTTATTTGGATTCCTAGTTTAAATAGAAATATTTATTCCTATGTAATGTGTATTTGTAATAGAAATTGTATGTGTATATCTTATAATTTTTCAGGAAATGATGTCGATATGACTTTTGTGTTGTGTACACCATGCCTGCTGTTATGGGCCGTAAACATGGGGGTGATGGAGCTGAGCACCCACCTTTCCTAGGAGGTAGAGGTGCTGGTCATCATGAGCTCGATTATAAGTCTTATGATGAATTTTTATTTACTATTTTTATTCAGTTATTATAAATTAAATATCGTTTCTAATAAATTTTAATAATATTTGTAGTTGAGCAATGTAGGAAAGTCCGAGGAAAAGCCAAAAATATTAAGCTTGAAAGAGCGCTCTTACAGAATAAGGGCAAACCGATGTACATGGATTATGATAGGGATATGACATATGATCCCGTAGGAGATCCGAAAGACATGTTTGCACGAAAAGTTGTGAAAATAATGTGGCGAATGCTCCCTTTCGATAAATAGACTTGGAAAAAAGTTTCCCTTGCGATAAAGGATACAGTAAAACAACATATAGGGGTAAATTATTTATATACAAATTTTTCATATGGTTAATTATGATTGGTTTTTACTTGGTTAAACTTTTTTTTTGTAGACAAAGTTTGATTTGGATCGGATGTCCTAGGATCCAGACGCTACTATGTTGTTAGAGAGTTTTGACGCAACTTTGTTAAAAGGTTATCGAGAGCATAAAGCTAATGCAAAATAATATTTTTTTGGAAGTCGGAGGGTATGAGGATATCCCGAGAGCATTAGCCACCCCCAGATGACGTGAATGTTGATAATTAGAGGAAAACAGTTAAGTATTTCCAAACGGACGAACACAAAGCTACTTTCAGAAAGGAACAAAAAAGTCCGTCAAATGCAAACGACCGTGAATCATGGGGGGTCGAACTCGTATAGCAGTACTTGCTATAAGAAGGTAACGTACGATACATGTAATTATTTATTTAAAATATAATCTAATTTTTAATGTTAAACAGAACCTTAAGAGAGTGGAAATGTTTCACAAGGCTCATACCAATAGGAATGATGTATTTGTTTGTGTCGATGCGGAACAACAATATGAAAGTATTTAATTATAATTTTATCATATAATTAAGTGTTTATTTATACTTAATTGTTAATCACTTTTGGGAAATAAAAAATTGGTTAGTGGAAGAGCTCTTAGAACAAACGCAAGGGCAAGAATGTGAAAGAGAGTTAACACCTGCTCAAGAAAGAGCTACTTTCTAGAAAGTATTAGGAGAAGGACGTGGCCATATCAAAGGCATCGGCTGAAAACCTTCTACTATCCCGTCGATTTCACAGCCATCGCAACCACCACCACCACAACCATCACAACCACCACCACCACAGCCATCACAGTTAAAACAAGATTATTTAATTTCAATAAATGCATGTTGATTTGGTAATTTTTATTTGTGGTGATTATTTTCTAAAAGCTTTGGTAACTGATTTTTTGTTCCTAGTGCAACAAATAGCAATCTACTTTGGTTTTTTTTTGTCTTAGTTTAAAAATAGCGATGTACTTTGGAATCAATGAATGCATGTTGATTTGGTAATTGTGCTTTTGTCCCAAGTGCAAGATATAACAATGTATTTTTGGTATTTCTTGTATATTAAGTACAAGAAATAGCAATGTACTTTGGCATGTCTTGTATTAAAGGTTCTTTAGCACAAATAGAGTAAATTATTTAATTTCAAAGGTTCATGTATCTATATAATGATCAATAAATACATGTTGATTTGGAAATTGTGTTTGTATTTTAAGTGCAACAAACAAAAATATATTTTGGTTTTTATGTCTTTAGTATAAAAATAGCAATGTACTTTGGCATCATAAAATGCATGTTGATTTGGTAATTTTGGTTTGTGGTGATTGTTTGACAAAAGCTTTGGTAATTGGGTTTTTGTCCCAAGTGCAAGAAATAGCAATGTACTTTGGTTTTCTGTCTTAGTTTAATAATAGCAATGTACTTTGGTATCGATAAATGCATGTTGATTTAGTAATTATGTTTTTGTCCCAAGTGCAAAAAATAACAATGTAGTTTTGGTATATCTTGTATTTAAGTGCAAGAAATAGTAATCTACTTTGGTAGTTTTTGTTTATGTTTGATAATTTAACTTATAAGTTTATATATGTTGTTATTTATTATGTAGTTGGAAAATCTTCAGGCAATGCTCAACAACCCGATATGTCACTAGAAGAAAATTTCGATTTAGCTATGAAAAAATTCCGTAGCTAAAAGCTAAAATTCCGTAGCTAAACCTGAATAGCTACAGAAGTTGCTACGGAATTTGTCAATGAGATTCCGTAGGTATATTTCTTGTAGCAAACGGTTTAGCTACAAAATTATAGTTCTGTAGCAGTTTTGCTACGACGTTTATTCCGTAGCAATTTAACTATAACACACTTCCATAACAATTCCGTAACAATGGGGTGCGTAGCAAATTCCGTAGCTACTTGTTCCGTAACAAATTCCGTAGTCATTTGTTTTGTAGCAAATTCCGTAACCATTTTTTCCGTAACAAATTCCGTTTCCATTTGTTCCATAACGAATTCCGTAACCATTTGTTCTGTAGCAAATTCCGTAGCCATTTGTTCCGTAACAAATTCCGTAGCCATTTGTTCCGTAGCAAATTCCATAACCATTTGTTCCATAGCAAAAATAGGTTCCAAAACAAATTCATAACGATAAAAATATTCAACAAAATCCAATTTCCATTTATAATATTCGTTGAAATATAAACAAATGCAATAAATTTAATTTTAATAGTTACATAGATTTTTATAGATATATTACATAATCGAAAATCATTTTACATGGTTCCCTAATCATCAAAACTGAATATTGTACAAATATTGTCACACAGTTCATATTAGAACCAACATAAACATACAAACAACCATAGATGCTCAAGAAAAATGGCAAAACCTGCAAAATCAAATTTACAAACAACTTGATTAACATTTAAATCTCTTGTATGAAATCTCATTATATTTCTAGTTTTTGACCAACTAGAGATTTAAAATCTGAAAATAAACAAAAAATAGAAAAAAAAAATCCAACTCTTCTAATTGATACACTATTACCATATACACAAGAAACATAATGATAACTAATTCAATTGTTTTTAAGTATTTATTGCATTAACATAAGACGATTATAATTTTAGTATATAATTTCATCTTTCTTTTTGTGATGTAATGAATAATGGTGACAACGCACAGGGGAAATTCTTGTAGTTTAGTCTTTTTGTGCTAGAACAGTAGAATGAGTCGTGCATAGAAGTTGCTATACTTTATTTAAAAAAATAGGACGCCACTAAGTATTGTTCAAAAAAAAAATTAAGATTCTAACTGACAATATATAAATGTTTCCTTGATTATTAAACTAACAATATATAAATGTTTATTTTGCAATTATGAATTATTCAAAAAGAAAATTTTAAGTTTTTCTTTTATTGAGGATGTTTTGACCCATAATGACAATCAACTTTCATTCTTAACCTATATTGGCAACATACTTTAATTTTTAACCAATCATAGCATCTTACTTTCACTTTCACCTATAATAGCAGCCTACTTTCCTTTTTAACCCATCATGGCATCTTACTTTCATTTTAAACATGTAAACTTACACAAAGTAGATTGCTATTATATATATATATATATATATATATATATATATATATATATATATATATATATATATATATATATATTAACACAACTTTCCTTTATGAAAATAATAGCAATGCACACACAAACATCTATCGTCCAATACACACATAAAAGTAGCTAAAAAATAAAATCAGTTCATCTTTCCTATGTTTTTTAACCTATTATGGAATTATTTAGTTGTATCAGATGAGAAAAAAATGAAATTGAACTCTTTTATTAACCCATATCAACTATTTCAGATAACAGTTCGTACTATTTATTTTAAAAAACAAACGGATCCATTTTTAACAACAGAAGTTTTTCATTAAAAAAGTCATAATTTCATAACATGTTATCATTCCCTCCAAACAAGTTCTAAATTTAAATTTCAAACATTTCATTAATCTTTAAAATTTAAAGCCAAAATTAAAGAAATTATAAACCCTAACCTTATAAAGTGGTATCCTCTGATGCGTTGTTATCGTACCAAACAATATTTGAAGTCTTCATTTCTGCTCTCCTCTCCTAGCGCCGGTTACAGGTACGCATTCTTTCACATAATGCACATCAAAACATACCTGAAACGTAAATTAAAAAAAATCAGATTATAAAAAAAGGACATGTGTTAAATATGGAAGAGGAATGAGGTTAACTCACACATAGCGAAATAGGGCAATTGTCTCAATCTTACATCTATGTTTGAGTAGTCACTGAGAAGCTTTGTATTTATAACAACAAGCAAGTTGTTTACACAAATATCGCAACGGATTCCAATAGTAAGATCCATAAGCCTCACTATGGGAACCTGGCTCGAGTCAGTGCCTACAGAAATAAGGGCAAAATGGTCATTTGAGATTTTGAGAACTGAGAATTGATTATGTTTTGCATAATTTTAGGATTCATATTTAAGATAATGAGATTGATTGAATTTGTTTTGAAAACAGAACCTAAAAAGACCAATTTACCCTTCAAGAGAATTACGTGAACATTCCCAAGATTATCCGATTTCAAAATATCTGGAAGCTTCAACAAAATCTCTGCTTTGTCAATATCTGCATTTCCCATTGCAAGACAAACATCAATGTCACTTTTACAAAATCCAAATGAATGGGCACATGATCCATAAGGAAATAATCAAGCTTCAGGCCATTATTTTGTAACATGTTTATCCAATAATGCCATGAGTTGCTTCTGTTTTTCCTTCTCTTATTCCGGTGGAATCAGTGACACATAAATTGCAAGAAAATAAGCATTTAGCCTTTGTATATCCCCCATACATTCTGTACGGCTTCTATAGTTCCTCATTCTTTGGTTAAGTATCCACTCTCCCCTTTTATCTGATCTGTAATCCTGAATTCATATCACAAGAGTTTTTGCAAATAAAGCTAAAGATAAGAAGTGAGATTATAAAGTTAATGGAAGCTCATTTCAATCCATATAAGTGGCTGTTACGTTTTAATTTGATGAGTATTGTGAAATTTTGTTTTGGAATGTAAGGGTAAAAGAGTCATTTAGTCTGATTCAAAATCAGACCAAGTTCAGCTTCAATCGAGTAAAAAAAAACAAACCAACAATTTCTCAATACAAAATTAAAACGATAAACCAAGACCCCTGAAGAAAAAAAAAACTTGGACGAAACTATCATTTACCATCAACACATTGTAGTTGTTGCATCTATATCTAACCTTCAAGGACCAGGTGACACCATGTTGTCTTCATTGATTACATGCAAGAACCGAATAGGGATGGAGGAGCCTCCATCTTCTTCATTGCTTCAACAACCATTCTTTCTGTACATATGGTTCTTAGATTCCTATAACCACAATACATTTCTAATCTTTGTCAAAAAAAAAAGTGCTAAACACATAGATTTCATCCTTTTTTCCACAAAATCAAAGTTATTTATGATCAATGTTACCTGTTGCACATCTCACCAACAGTAAGTTTAATGATCCCCTTTTTCTAGCTTTGAGTATATGCCTAAGATCACTATTAGTGACAATCATCATTAATCACCAGAAGACAATCACATCCTTTATTTGTTAGCTCCACCAATTATTCCATTATCAGGTCTCCTTCACCACATATTGGAAGTTCATCTTGCTTCTTCATAACATCCTTCACCTGCAACATGCAATCAAATCAACAGATCGCCAAATAGATTGGATGTAGGTTGAAGAAACATGTTATTACCTACATAGTTTACCCTAAAATTGACATGAGACCTACTGTTGTTCGTGATTCGAAAAAAAACTCCACACCTGTTTACCGGTTTATCTTTCCCTTAACGTATATAAGAATATCTCATCTAAAATTGAAAGAACACACAAAGGTCAGAATAAAATAAACAAAATCGGTTAGCGAATCTTGTGTTTGTACGACCTTCTTCATGGAAACCTCTCAAAGTCCTAGTTGAAGGCGGTGATTCGACAACTTAAAAAGGATTCGAGGTCAATATGAGATGAGAGTAGTTGGAATTAGACTGACAGTCAGGGGTGGAACACAAACAAAAAAAACTAGGGGGCCGAAACTTAAACTTTCAAACAAAATTATATAAAGAAAATGACCCTACAATTACTATATTTTCATTTTAATATAAACTACATGACAAAATTAACAAACACTAAATAAATAACAAAATAAAATAAAACTAATACATAGATCTTAAACAAACTTGTATTTTGATAAAAAAAAAACTAAAAAAATATAAGAAAGTAATAACCTATAATTGTTTTACAACTCCAAAGTTAATGTGACTAATATATTAAAATATGGTCTATTAAATCTTTAAAACCAATTTAAGATATGATCTATTTTTAGCTTGAAAATTAATATAAAGTCGTTAAAAATAAGTAGATTTAAAAATCAAAAATTATATATGAATAAAGTATTATTATTATTAATTTATACTTTTATAGCTTTGTAATAGATAACACATTTTTTTTAACTATTATTAATTTGTAGTTCTATAGCTTTGATACAGGCTACACCCTACAGATACACAACTATATTTACTTGTTCCAAGGTTTTACTGTGTTACTAAGACTAGTCATGTTAATATTAATATTCAATATATACAAATGAGAGTGTAGTAGGTTTGAGCAAATGAAAGAGAGATATAGAGGTGATGCGTACTTCATTCCGACGGAGAAGATAGCACGAAAAACAGAAGCAATACTTATGTCGGCAATTCGCTCCAACAACTCAATGAGGATAGAGGGCAAGAAGTCGTGGAGAGGAGACGACTAACCTGGCGAGGAGAGAGAGCAAAAGGCCCGATAAGTTGCTTTGCGGTGGAAGAGTTATGTTTGCAAATGTGGGAAGATCTAGCCGAAATATTATGGTTTCAGTCGGATTAAAAGCTCCGGTGAGTTGCTAACGGCGGTGATAACATTTAGGGTTTTCTTTTGTTTGAAGATTGGAGTTTGACAATTGTGTTTTTTGGTGTTTGCGTAGAGTTAATATTTTGTTTTCAATGTTAATTTAGTTTTTGATTTGATAAGATTCCTTATTTCTAGTTAAATTAGGTTTCATTTGATAATATATTGTTTAAATTAGTTTTCAATTTGCTTAACTTTCTTAACAAGAACAATGATACTTATGATTTTTTTTTTTAATAATTAAAGAACATAATTACTTGTTTTCAGTAGATAAAAAAACTTGGAGGGGCCGATTAGTTTGATTTTTAGATAATTTAGTATATAATTATTAATTCCATAAATACTGATATTAACTAGTTAAAAAAGCTGGGGGGCCATGGCCTCCCCCAGCCCCTTCTATGTTCCGCCGCTGCTGGCAGTATCAATGAGGCATTCACTCGACAGGGGGAATGATTTACAGCTATTTTTAGAAATAGGCAATAATTAATACAATGTACACATACCTGAATCGCAGACAACTGAATTGCAGACAACAAAACCATAGCAACTCCTAATAAATTGAAAATCAAAAAAGCAGAACTCATCATGTCAAAAAAATCGACAATAAGTAAAATACTTTGGTGTATGCCTCTTACACACATAATCAACCGGTCCCTCAAAAATCGGCACCTAACAACAACAACAACAACGAAACCTCCGACACAAAAGTAAATCAGAAGAGGCGATAGAATAAGACGAACGGAAAAACCACAAAGTAAACAACGACCAATTGAACTAAACTAAAGAAGGCGTCGACGACAGGTGGTGGTGGAGGCTGAGAGAAAGGGGGAGGGGCTTGAGGTGCAAGAAAGGGGAGCGTCGGAGATCGCAACGGGCAAAGAAGGCTTCCAAAGGAGAGAAGGAAGTCTCAATCGATCGATGTATGCATTCTAGTTGATTATCAGAGGAATCAGAAAGCAATGATGGACGGTAGCTCACCGACTTCTACTCCAGTTTCTCCAAAAATGTTTAGATGGAACCAAAAAAAAAAAGCGGTGGAAGCAGTTGGAGGGATCAGAAATAAACCGACAAACCTTAGAATATAGTGGAGGGACTAAAGGTATAACACTAGAAACAATTGGACTAGAAGTAACAGTAGAAAACGCGTGGGGGAGTAAACGTATGAAATCACAAACAATTGGACGGAAACCGACTAAATGATTAAAAAAATGTGGCCAATCTCAAATAAATAGAAAAGTGACTTATCTAACTACAACCTCAGGAGGCGATATTCCGTAATAATATGAAAAGAATTTTATTAATAATAATTAAATTATAATTAAAAATCATAACACAATTAAAAACAGTAATTTATTTTTTTTTGGTAAAATATTTTTTTGTATTTTACTACGGAAGTATATTCCGTAACTAATTGACTACGAAATATTCTGTAGCCAAATAGCTACGGATTAAGATTCTGTAGCTATTTTGCAAATTCAAAAACAACTTAGATACACAAATAACAACGGTTAATCTTTCCGTTACAAGTTCCGTTGTATATTAGCTACAAATTTTTATTGTGTAGCAAATTTTCGTCACAAAGTAGCTACGAATTTCTATTATGTAGCAAACTAGCTACATATTTTTATTTCGTAACTGATTTTGTAGCCAACTAACTACGAAAATGGATTACGTAACAAGTTCCGTATCAAACTAGCTACAACCAACAACCACGTAGTATATTTCATAGTAAAATAGCTACAAATTTTGATTTTGTAGCAACAATTCAAGATTTAGCTACGAAAATGCAACTCCCTAGCTATTTCCGTAGAAAAATTGCTACGGCCAGCCATTTTGTAGCATATTCCGTAGTATAATATCTACAGATTTTGATTACATAGTAACTTTTTGTAGTTATTCCTAGTTTAGCTACGGAATGTAACTTCGTAGCTATTTCCGTAGCAAAATAGCTACAAAAAGCCATTTTGTAGCACATTCCGTAATAGAATAGCAACGGATTTCAATTCTGTAGCAAGTTTTCGTAGCTATTTATGATTTTTCTTGTAGTGTGTAGGGAGGAGCTTTATGCGTTTTTTCATTCGAGGAAAGATCAATGAGGAAACGATGGGAACAGAAATGATGGTTCGTCGGATAATTAATTTGTGTTTTGTATGTTACACTTGTCGTGACACTTTGCTAATTGTTAGAATTGTAAAACTTTGGTTGTTTATTTTGATATGAAATTAATTATTAAAGTATTTGGTATCTAATTGGATGTTATTATGTAATTTTTTTTTCTTCATTTAATGTCGTTATGTATCGGTTTTTTTGCACCCAAAATCGTTGATTAAAAAAAATTAAAAAATGAAAAATGTTATTACGGCGACAGGAGGCATTACCGGCGACAAGAACATTAGCGGCGAAAAGAAGTATTAACGGCGACAATTGTCTTTACCGGTGACATTTTGATCAATAGTGTCAGAGCAGAAGCGGCAATTTTTTACCGACGACGTGTAGCGGGTATTACCTTTACCGACGAGTTTTTTACTCTTTAGCGGCGACTTTTGTCGCCGCTAATTACCTTTTTTCTTGTAGGGATAATAGTTGTAAAAATATTATTAATTTGGTCATTTTAATTAAAATACATGCCCAAAATGTTTTCGCTTTAGTCAACAAAAAGTGGATATTGTAGTCATCTGTGTCAATACAACAAACTTGACAATTTATATTAACCGAAGTAAATTTAAAGTTATATCATATACATATAGATTTTACCTTCCGTCGTCACACATGCTTGGAGAACAATAAGCCAAAAGCTCATCGTCTTGTTGAAAGATGGCCATCACTTCTTCTTTCAAATTGGCTCATACTTCAATTCCATTCCCTTCTTTAGTATCCATCATCATGATTACGTTCTTGAATGGTGTATTTGTAACACTAATCCACCTTGGCTTTCCACATCCAAAATCAATCTCATACAATGGGAATCCACACCAACTACTAAATGTAATAACTTCAGTTTCATCCCTTCCCAACACATCCCTAATCTTTTTAGAGTAATTCAAGATTGCCGATATTCCATCTTTGGAATCTTGAACTTGTTTCATGTTAACATCACAGAATTCTTTAAACTCATGTCTTAGTTGACCAGCCAAGCCCCGTAACTCAATCTCACCGCCGTCATGAAAGCTTTTCTCGGCCAAAAACGACCCAACAAAGTTGCCAAAAGAGGTCTCCGGCAATGGTGGGTTGAGGCGTCCTCGCATGTTCACAAACGTCATTGCCATTGATGATCTAATCTCAGGTTTCTTAACTGCGTTCATAGCACATTTCCAGATGAGGGCAGTAACAGCTTGAACACGTGAAGAAGATTATGTTTGGGCTTTGAGTAATGATATGCTTGAAGCATTGAACACAAACCTCTTTCTAACGAGCATTTCGTTCATTGGAATCTGGATTCCGGTAATGTTCAAGAAACCAATCCGTGGGAATAGAGATGAGATACTGAACTCGGGAACCAAAACTGGGTTATCGTTCAATGAAAGGTTTGCCCATTCACGAATAAAAGAAAAGAAATTAGATGCATCGCCGATCTTATGCGAGGAACATGCACCAATCGCAATTCCACCACATTTGAAGTAGCTCACCTGGACCAGCAAGGGAATGGTATGATCAGGATTCTCGGATTCCTCAGTTAAAGAAACAAACTGTTTCATCAAGTTCAAATCATACTGTTGAAGCACATAAGATAGGGAACAATCAACAGTGGCTTCAGAATATGGTATTCCGGCGTCATTGCAATCGACAAAAACGTCTCCATTTACACGTCCAGCATATGGATAAAACGACGACAAAACTCTAGATAAAGAGGTCTTGAGTCGAGGGGCTAAGTTCGAGTTTGGCTTTGCGTCGTAGAAGAAGATTATCGGAGGATAAACGGAAGGCGATAACTGGTCGAAAAGAGATAAATCGTGGGTTTTCAAGTGGTCGTGAGTGGAGGATGAAGGTTTAATGATGTGGGTTGCTGTTATCTCGACCTTGAACGCCATCGTTTTTGGTAGATATACCAGTTATTAATATTCTACAATTGAGAAAGTTGGTTAGATTTATGTGGATTCAAAGGCGATGAATCTTATGGTGTTATGTGTTGTTAGAGGACAAAGACTTCGTTAGTTTTGATAAAGCCGATTGGCCGGAAGGCATAGAGAATCATAGAGATCGTCGTCATATGTCAGTGTCCCTTTGAGCATAAAAGATACTAAACAAAAATAAGGGGTTTTGAAAGGAACACGAGAGGATTAAGTTTGGCAATTTTATATGAATTTAAAGGAAATTCTATTAAAATCTCATTATATTATTTTAATTTACAAATAAAATTTAAATTAAAATTTATTTATAAAAAAACATGAATTACTAGAAAAATGACGACTTTGGCCATTTTTTTTTTCTGTTTACCTGTTTCATTACTAACTTAGTCGCATTAATATTTTACTCTAATTTATGAATAAGTCCCAAAATAATATTGATTACGAAAAAACATTAATTACCGATAAGAATGATGATTTAACCATTTTCATTCTTGAACACACATTTTATCGGTTTCATTGCTGACTTGAACAACTAATCATTAATTAACTGATGACATGAATATGATGAGTTATATAATTCCACGTTACCATGAAACTTGATATCCATTTCATTATCTCATTTAATGACTAGACGCCAAAGTCAGCAACGAAACCGGTAAAATGTGTGTTATTGGAAAAAAATGCAGGAAATGAGCTGATAAAATGGATATACTCGGTTACATAAAATATAGTTCACTACAAGAAACGGGACCTATTGGGACGACAAATGTCGTCTCTATAGGTTAAAAAAGTCGTCCCTCTAGGTGTTCGGGACAACATGTCGTCCCATTATCTCTCGTCGTCATAGCCCCGCCGCAATAGATCTTTTTGGTCGTTGCTGTAAATATCGTCGCAATAGGTATCCTTTAGAGACGACATGTCGTCCTGTTCTGGTTTGTCGCTATACGTTGCTGGTCTCCATAGATGAAGCTATAGAAACGACATGTCGTCTCTATAGGTATATCTATAAACACAACATGTCGTCTCCATAGATAGATATGTAGTCGACTAGTCTTGCCCTTTAGCAACAGTAGGTCGTCGTGGTAGATGCACCTGTAGAGACGACATGTCGTCTCTATAGATCCACGTATAGAAACGACATGTCGTCTCTATAGGTATGCACATAGAGCTGCTCTTTCTTCTCTATAATTTCCCAGTTTTCATATCACGAAATTGCTAAAGCAGTAAAATTACAAAATAGATAAAACGGTAAATTTAATTGCAAAACATTAATATTTGATACAATCTCAAAACACTACATTATTAAATATAACTCATATGAAGAACAAAACTATTAACTTGAGGAAATTTGCATAATCATCACATGCCTTATCATTTGTGTACATAACACTACATTCCACATGGTTTATAAAAAACACCATCAACAATGGATTGCTTCTCATCATAGTGTGCCCTTTTTTTGCTCCCTAAAGCTTCTTGCACTCTTCCCACTTTCATTATCTGAAAAAAAAAGGATGAAGGAACCTTGATCTTGATCCATGGCATCTATTTCATCTTCATCATCTGAAGATGTCCATCAAGAATACAATCTCATTCAATGCTAAACAGATTTCAACTGAACATAATCCAAACATGCCTCTTTCTCAACAATCTTCATGAAGTTCATCTTCAGAAAGAGCATCCACACCACCTTCTGCTTGAATCATCTTATCATCATTCTTAATCCTACAAAAAATAAAAAAGTGTAAATTGTAAGTAAAATGACCACATTTTAATGATTTTTATAAATAAAAGATGAATAAATTTATATACCATTGAAGTTTTTTTTTTCTGATGTAACAAAGGTAAGCATCTGTTCCAAAAGGTTGGATTCCCATATATTTGCACATATTCACTAATCGAGGCCTAATAAACAGAAAAGTTTTCAATAATTTAGTGAGAAAAATTATATCATACTCAAGAAAAATTATACCACCACTGTCAAATGTTTGCATTGCATGGTATTTTCTTTTTGATTTTCGCCTTTTCGGCTAAACAAAAAGTCAAAAAAGTAGTAGCCATTACCTGAAATATATGATAGTTTATCATGGTTGGAGTCGCATGTGAATCAATTCGGTATTGACCATCTCTCTGTGCAAATTGCATATTCAGAAGAGATAAATAACAATGAAATAGAAGTAATTTATTTTCCATTTTTTAAAAAGTAAAATGCTATAATTAATTAAAAAAGTTGAAAGTAGATTACTATAGTAAGCAAGTAAGTAAAGTTACAAGATAATCAGGCTCCTTGATATGTGGGAAGACGCCTCCTCCTATACGCACCATCCATAGGAACTTATTTATATCATCACCTGACACACACATGAACATAAATGAAAACTTTAAATAATTAATTTCTTATTTTCAGTTTTTTTAAAAAGAAAAAAGAAAAAAGGGAAAACCAACCTCCAAAAACAACAAGGACATTAAAGTAATTTTGGGATAAGGACTCGCTCTCTTCTGTGCAAAAGACATAAATGTCCTCACACTAACTTGGAATGCAAAGAAATGAACCAAAACAAAAAAGCACATTTACTACAATTACCAACAGTTTCTTTACCCTGTAGCCTTGCTCTTGTATTACCATTAAAGACATTTGAATCCTTGGTGCCAATAAGCTATATGATATATATAAATGGCCATTTATATTGGACAAAATCCAAACCACAGGGACGAAAAATGTAACTTACCCTATTTTCATTACTTTATAAGGAAAATGCATTATTTATAAAGATTATGTTGAACTTACAATCTGGAGCACAGGTGTAGGTCCTTGTCCTTTGGCTGGATTTTTTGAACGGCAACATGACAAGCTTCTCTAATAGGCATCTGTCATGTATTTTATTTCCATTTTCCTCAAAAAAAAAAAAATTAAATAAGACACTGCAAATAAAAAATAAATAAATAAATAAGAAAACAAATGTTCACCTGCAAAACAAGACTTCTAGAATAGTCAGCAATTCCTCCAATAACATCTAACCTTCCGGGTGCTCTTGACACATATATATCTTCCTATATTAGCAAATAATGGGATGAACTCCATGGAGGGCAAAATAGACATTTTACAAGGGAAAAGAAAATTACCTCCCAATTAAAGAGACCAACAGCAGCCTTGCGCTCACAAACATATTGTTTTTCAGTATTCTTTACAGAATCATGTAAAGCTTCTAATTCAGCCGAACTCCTCAAAAAACTCTACCCTGTGTTGGAGGTACGAAATAAAAACATAAGATGCTAATCAATAAGATAAAATATGAAATTTTATATGCTGAATGTTACCTCTACCCTGTGTAATATGACATTCAACATTCTCTCTGGCTTCCAACACATGCTCCCTATAAGAAATCAGATTTGATAATTGATATTAAAAGGAAAAGCAAACAAAGATAAACATCTATACATAACCACTAAATGAGTACCATTGAAAGTTTGCCTGATAAAGAACTCGCATTCCTTGATTTTGTAGCATTTGAAGCCTTACAAATTCACATCATATAGTAAGATAAACACAAATAGATGCTTATAACCAGATTAAATAGTGTATTATAGAAAACTAGAGTAACAAAAAAAGTAAAAAGAATAATAGCAATGTTGGTGTGCATACCGTTGAGAATATGCTACCTTTTCCATTTTAACTTTTCTGCAATGTTTTAGACCAAGTTAATTTGTTAAAGTTAAAAACAAGGAAAACTAAATATCTTGAGACCAATGTCACTCACCCAGATTTGGAGCCATTAAAAGCTTCATTCTTTTGAAGATTACCCTGAGAATTGCTAATATCTGCCAACACTTTTCTTCCTACTTTACCTTGAGCTGTGATGTGAAGCATAAAATTGTTAAAAAGTTGTACAAACAAAAAAACTTGTTTTACTGAAAGTAAAGTTGCATAATGCTTACTAGAGCTGATGAACAACCCATAGAGCAGAACGCAGTCAACAGCTAAAGCAAATATCAATAACTTACACTCCTATGATAAAAGCATATTACATCTTGATCAAATCAGATTACTTAAACGTGGTTGTGTATAAAATCAACAAAGAACAGATTTTGGATAACTATAAAATCAGATTCAAAAAAAAAATCAACAAATACGTCGCATTCAAACAATGGCAAAGAAATCGAAACTTACCTGATTCGTCGCTGCCTTAAATGTGGTATATTCTAAGTTCCTAATTCCCATTACAGGTTGTCATGACAGTGATCGGTGCTGAAAACATATCTCGATGAAAAAATACATTTTAATCGCAAAAGCAAAATCCATAGATATTTCGATACTCCATGCTTGAATAATGAATAACTAGAAGGCAAATCAACAGAAAAATTGTTGATGTGGTTACAGTTTATCAGTATTGCTTCTTCAAAATGAGAAGCCATGAAAGAAAATCACAATTCTAGTTTCAAACACGTAATTGCTAACATAAACCTCAATTCCAGTTTCAAACAGAGAATTGCTAACCTAGGTCGCCGAAGTGGGGCTTGTATTCGTTAGAATTCGTAACCGGAGGTGAAAATGAAGCTGATAGTTAGAATTGTCGGAGTTGAAGCTAATCGCCGGTGGTCATCGGCAACTAGCATGAGGATCGAGAGAGAGGAAGAAGATTTGCCGGGAGTGGGAGGTGAGGAAGTCGCCACGGGAGAATTGTCGATCGATCGATCGAGAGAGAGTGAGACTATTGATTGAGCGTGCATGAATTAAACGACCTGCTCTTGTAATTTCGGGCATAAAAAGCTATGGGGACGGCAAGTCGTCCCTATAGTTATCCTCAAAATGATGTCCCAGTTTTATTTCCTTGAAATTATTAAATAAATATGTTATTTTTAATTTTTGTTATTTGTTAGACCGATAAGTCGTCGCCACAGGTGTTTAAAGAACGCGCCAAATCCACTTCATTTCCCGCTTAACATGTTGAGACGATAAGTCGTCGCTGTAGCTTCAAAAGTCAAAAAAAATCGTCAACTCTATGGCGACGACATGTCGTCCCCAAAGGTAGCTTATAGCGACGACAAATGTCGTCCCTATAGATCTCATCCCTATAGGTATTTATTCCTGTAGTGCGTTAGACAATTTAAAATTTCTTATAAACTTTAAAAATAAAGTTATTGTTAGTTTATGTAATTATTGTAGTTTTTATTGGAAGCATTTCGTATTCCAAAAAATATAATATTCAACAGGTTATCAAGTTATATGTTAGACATAATATTATATAACCCAACATATCCATCATATTAGCTTACTTAATGACTAGACGTGCATGTCTGCAATGAAATCGGTAAATGTGTGTTACATTGAGAAAAAAACTAAATCGTCACTTTTATCGACAATTCATATTTTTTCGTCAACAAAATTTTGTTTGGGACTTAGAATTCATAAATTAGGATACATAATGAGACTTTAATGCAACTAGATCTATAATGAAACCGTTAAACAAAGAAAAAATGGTCAAATTGTCATTTTTACTAGTAATTCATGCTTTTTCGTAAATAAATTTTAGTTTGAGACTTATTCTTAAATTGGTAAAA